GTATTTATATTTGTTTACGCCCGTGCGTGGAAAGATTGAAATAGCGTTTGCGTGAGCAATTTATAGAATATAGTACACAAATACCTCGTCACTAAATATAAATGAGTTTATTTACGGGGGTAATAATATAACCTAGAAGTGATTTAGAGGTAATTAGAAATTCATTCATCCGGATACTTAGAGCTTAACATTCACTTATAGGAGAGGATTGGGAGGATGCAACGGAGTTGCAAAATTTACCAGGCCGTTACTCTCGTTGTTTGCCATATTCCCATGGTGGATTTACGAGAAACTTAACGGGGGACTACAATTTATTTGTATCTTTGCCGCTTTTTAATATTTTGTTCGCGTCTGCCTCCCGAGTTATCGGAGGAAAAAGACGGAACGGCTGTTTCAGGCGGAGATAAGTGGCAGGCGTTGCTGTCTCGTCGTATAATAGACAGTCACATAGATGCGATTGTATTTATACTCAGTGACGAGATTCGTGTTCCGGAAACGAGGAATTGTCGGGGGCGCTCCGCATGTATTTCGGGAATATCACGGGGAACGTTCCGGAAATACACACCGAGAGAATACATCATGAAGTAAATTTCACAATAATAGGCTAATGAGAGCTTTCCTAAAGCCGATCGCCTGTAATATCTCTCCCTTCGCGTCCCGATAACACCTCGCTGGCCTACTGTACTGTTTACCCTGTTAGAAGCTGCTTTTTTTTCTCCCCACGAGGAAGGACAGTATCAATTTTCCTCGATCGAGCGTCTTCCTCTTTTATCGGGCCCGTCCTTCGTCCACGCGAGAGTGAACTTTTATTACGGCGACCTTATTCGGCGTGCGGTATTATTTTAATGGGCCCTCTCTCTCCCTGAATCGCTGAGGCTTCCTTTCGATCGTCCATCTCGTCGCGCGGATTTGAGACCTTTCGCAAAATACCCTCGCTCGCTTCGCAAAAAATCATGTGAAAAAAAAAATATGTGTCAGTGCACGAGGCGGCGAGCGATATCGTATCGTGTCGAAAACGCGACACGGGGCACTTCGCGTTACTTACGTTAGCATTAATTTGAACGCTCGCGTTACACTCACATTCTCGAATTTTGCGAAATACGCTCGAGGGGCGAAAAAAAAGTGACGATATCGTACAGATCGATGAGCAAGTAGTGAGAATGAGAGAGAATAAAATTATTCAGCGCGGCGGAATAATGGAGGCTCGTGCCATCGCACGAGACGCGAATCCGCAAGATCAGGATTCACTTCGTCCGACCAGCCAGAAGAGGGCAGTAATAATTATAAAAACGTCCACTCTATTATTAATCTATCTTTGGGATGTATTCAAAATAGCACGACTCGTAGAAGGGCAGACGTGCGCCAGAGAGAACAGCGCTCGTACTCGCCGTCACACACACACGTACACAGTATCGTGCACTCGCGCGCACACTTGACGGTTCTCAACTGTCGCATCGCGTTTTCTCACTCGCAACGACGCAGTTGTGAAACAACCATAAACGTGAGTCGCATTCGTTTCAAAAGTGACACTGATTTCGAAAGTCTCGGTCGAATCTACGTAATGCGTGCTTTTTTATTATCACGAAAATTTATAGTTTTTATTGTAGTACTTATTGTAGTATTTTTCTGAAACGCAGAATATAGATAAATAGATAGATAAATAGATTGATAGATAGAGAAGGAGAGAGAAAGAAAGAGAGAGAGAGAAAGAGAGAAGCACTTTCAAAGAATATTGAGAATTTATAATATTATTTATAATATATATATTTTTACAATAAGAATACTTGTAATTTCGAATTCAAAGTCTCAAGCTGTTTCGCATCCGTTTGAATTCGATGAAACTTTTTCTAGTCTGATTTGATCCGTTCGGGTGTGACTTGATGCTTTAGAATATTTTGATTGATTTTCTCTTTTTAGAAATATCTTTCTTCGAAAAAAAAAAAGAAAGGAAGTTACCGGAAATAGGTTTTACAGCGAGAAGAGACAGATATAAAGCTGAAAAGAGTTTGGATGAATGACGTGGATGAATTTTGACGCTGCTGAAAAAGGACGTAGAGTTATCGGGCTTTTTTCGACGGAAACCAATGACCCGGCATCCGAACTACGAAAATAGAACTCGTCCACTGAACTCTCCTGTATAAATGCTGGGTAAAATTCGAATTGTGCGATATCGAGTGCTGCCATTCGAGCGGCGCGCGATCGCTGAATTATTTCTCGTCGCGAATTCAAGAATATCCTGAATATCTGCTGATAATCAGCAGCTCGGTAAATAACAGGCGAGAACGAAAGCGCGTCTCCATATGAATTTCGAGCGGAATCCGATCGCAACGGCGACAACCTTGTCGTCTAGACGAAGGCGGCCTAGTCGGCGAGCTTCAAGGCGCTCGCAAGTAGAAAGCCGGATCGGATCGATGGACGGGAAGATGGCGTGAAATCGAATTTTCCGAAGACTCCGAGTGTATTATCGCGCGCAGTAACAGGACCTGACCTGGGGCAGTCCTCGAGGAGAGACGACGGCCCAGGATGAGAGCCACTGGCTGCCGGAGCACACACAATGACCACCTGCGCGCGCGCGCACGTACACGCAGCGTACACACACACGTGCGCGCGCGCGCACCTTGGCATCGAGTGGATCAATAATTTTTGATACTCACGCGTACGGGACATTCAAAATACGCGCTCACGGCGCATGCAACGTAGTCTCGCGACATAATCGCGACCGGCGGCGAGGGAAACGCGCGTTTTCCGCGCATTTTCTCGACACGGAGACGCGGGGAAAGAGGGAGAGAGAGATGCGCTCTTTGCTCGTGAACGAACGGAAAGCGGAGACGAGCGAGTGAGCGAGCGAACGAACGGACGCGCGCGCGCGCACCAGAGTCGCGTCGAATAGCGGCGTTTCGCGTTCCGATGCGCTAGAGATACTCGAGAGTGCCGCGCGCGGTCTCGACCGATCCGCCATTTTTAATCGATATAAGCCAGTGCAGCTAACACTCGAATGCGACTAACATTCGAGGGATCGCGTCTCGCCCGGCTATTCGCGATTTTCGCCTCGCAAGATGGTCTTTAAACGGCCCGAATGTTCCCCCAAATGCCCTTTAACTCCGGTAAAAATACCACGATAGCGTGTCTCTTGTCGGCGGGGCAGCGGGGGAGGGCGAACGGTTAGATTAGATAATAGACCAGTAAACTGACAAAATGCGACCGCGATAAATGTATGTAAATCGCGCTTTTAGTCTTCGTTCTCATTCTAATATGCATTTATGTATATCTCGTTGAAGGTAACTCAGTCGATGCCTTTGTCTTTCGTTCGACGTTTTTCTTCCAATAAAGTGGGGTTTACAATTTAAGGCGTAAGATTTAAGAAATTGACCAATCACAGTCGAATTACAGAAAAAACGTCAATTTTCATTGGTCACTTTCTCAAATCTTAATTACGCCTTAAATTTTCATTGTAGACCCCGCTTAACGCAATGTAATATACGTATAAGAATGTTGGGACACATAAGCGATTGTGTGCTGCCCCTCCCCCCCCCGCTTCCCCCACTCTCGAATTTCGTCAAGTCACGATGTACCTCCCGGTATGCCGACCAACGGATGTTTGTGGTCTAGCAAAAGTACATGCCTGTGGTCGAAAAGATCCTAACAATCCGTGGCCGCGTTGTTTCCGAACATTTAACGCCACGTTCGACGCGAACTTAGAACGGTACATTTGTTATTTTCATATAAACCCTGCTGCCTTCCTCTTTTTTCCTTTGAGGTAATAAACGTTTTTAATATTGAGCATCTTGAGAAGATTCGCGCACAACAGTTTTTTTTTTTACAGATAAATTAGGCAAAACGTCAGGTGTGTCGCGCGTAAATGGAAGGCGAGATATTCCTAATGACGTTTTTTACATGCGAAGATCTCGTGTATATCTTGCTTCATTTACGACGGACATTTTTATTAACGTTTTCAAGCTCGTGCCGTGAGCTCGTTGTGCGAGCTCGCGTATCTCGCCGACGGTTCCGCCGTGTTCGTAGTAAGGATTCGTCCGTGCTGGGTTGCACCACAGCGATAACACGTTGAGAGATTATTCTCGGATAGCTTTCCGCGCTCAAGTCGCGCGAAGTCGTACGGAAATAATGTCGCGGGCGCGCGGACGCGGAATTACAGGTGACAGTAATGCTAAATTTGAATGAGGCGCGCGACCTCGCGCGAAATTTTTATGGCGTCCGTCGTCATAACGGATTATTCGCGCGCGATATACGGTGAGAATTCTCTCTTATTGACGAGAGAAAGAGAGAGGGAACGGACTGGGGCACAGGAGGAGGAGAGGGGGAACGTGGAAGGAGAGAGGGAAACTGAAAAAGAGAGAAAGAGATAGACAGGAACGAAAAGGGGAAGGAGGCGAGAGAGAGGAGAAGGTGAGCGAAGAGGGAGAGAGGGTGAGAGATTAAGATCGGTACTAGCGGGAGATAAAGCGGAGACTGCGGACTTTAATATCGAGGATAGTTCCGACGAAGGTTCCGGATATGCAACGAAAGAGTAATTCACGTAACGTCGCGTGATCAGGGACGCTCGCTATATTCCGGCTCGTACACACTCGTACAATATACATACATCGAAATTAAAAAAAAAAAAACATCCTCTCTCTCAGATCACCGATGATGCGTCACTCTCAAATTATTCGGATTTCGTCGACGTTAAACAAAACCGGTATCTCCCCGGGGAGGGCCAAAATGCAGCGTCAATATTTCTTTCTCAATGAGAGAGTTACCTGGGGAATTTCCAAATGATCGTTGACATTCGCACTTCGCGCGTACACGCGTTCGCGCGAGTAGAAACGCGACGCTCCCGGTATTATTTTATTCAATAGTTGCCTCTGTGTCTTCCAAGGTCTCTCTCTCTCTCTCTCCTTCCCCCTCCGACCCGGAATTCGAGAACGCAGAACGCGCGCGGCAGAGGCCGGAACCGACGTCGCGATTTTGCGGAAAGTTCGTTTCTCTCTCCGACATCGCGCGCTTAGGAGGCGGCGGGGACGGGCGCGTGCATGCGAACGCGGAGCGGACGCGCGCACCGTTGCGAACGCCGCCCCGCCCGCGCGTTGATCGCTCCGATCGCATACACACGCACGCACACACGCGCGCGCGCGCCGCACGACGACGAGGGGAGGATGGCCGCTCGCGGGAACGGCCGCGTTCGCTAGCTAAGCGAGCGCGACTACGCTCCGCTATTCCGTTCTAGCGAAATAGCCCTCGGTGCAGACTGATCCGTTCTTCGCGAGCCCGGGAGCTGAGTGTAAGTCCGCCTTTCGTCGTCGCCGACCATCCGCCGATTTCTCCGTGCCGCCGCGTCATAACAAGTCTCTCGCGCGGCGGAACTTCCCCGCTGACCCTTTCTTCTCCCTTTTGCCTTCGTCCCTGCGCCGCCGCTGTTCGTTGTCGCCGAGGTATCATAACTTTCTCGTTGGAATTTACGCGGCTACGCCGATGCTGCCGACGCTCGCTCGCGAATGTGTCTCGTGGGGAGGGGGAGGGCAGGGGAGAGTACGCAGGATCCGACATCGACTGCCTCTTCTCAATCGCCCCGAGTGACCCGATGTGTGTGTGCGCGCGTATGTGACGCTCGGTTCGAGGTACGTGTGTTTTTTTTTCTTCGGCGGATATTCTCCTCTCTCTCTGCGCTGTCTTTCTCCGCTACGATACGGCTCGCGCTGCGTACCTTGCGACGTCGGCGAGACCCCTCGCTTCGTTCGCGAAGTGCGTCGCGCGCTGTTCGCATGACGTTTGCGCTGCGCCGTGCTGTCAGAACGGCCGAGACGGATCGCGCGAGCCTGCCATTCGAGAACGGCTGGTAAAATAATGTCGCCTTGTCGACGAACATCGGTCGTCCGTTGTCGTCGCGGATCTCTCGCGCGAGCCCCGTAGGAGAGCGGAATGTTGAGCGAGCGGTATTTCGAGCACCGTCGGATAAGCGCAGGGCCGTGCGTGCGGTAATTACACGTCCACGTATTAGGTTAGCGTGAGAGTGCCACGAAAACACAGCCCGACGACGAGGAACGCGACATATCGAGCTGTTCGCGGCTATGGGGAAGAAGTGTTTAGATTTAACCTTGAACGACGCGAGAGATCGCGCTCCTCTCTTTCTCATTTCTTCGAGGTGTGCTGCTGCTGCTGCTGCCGCGATCGATAGCAACAAGCGAAGTCGCGGTCGGGAAGACCGTCGCTGTTTTCAAGTGGAACGTAAATTGTGCCGGTTCTCGAGTTCCGTCCGCGAAACAAAATGACGGGGCCGCTTATGGCCTTGTATATGTCGAGAGATCGATATTTTCACTCCTCTGTGTGTAAACATCAACAAAATATATATATATATATATATATCCGCTAATTTTATAATTTTCCTAATTGTGCGATACACGGATTGTGCGCGATGTTTCGCGGAATGTCATGTTGACGATCTTTCGACAGATTTCAAGTAACTCGATTCCGAATAAGAATTTTTCTAGTGTGAGAGATTAAAATTAAGGTTCTAGTGGAATGTATCTTAACATTGCGAGTAAATAAGAAGATTCCATTGTTTGCGTAATTTTAAGCGAGCTTATATTTAGCAGGAATAATTTTTCTGAAGTTTTTATTGTGAGAAATTTATCATGCAAATTAAACAGTATATAACGTTGGAATTTAACATAATATAAATAGGATATTTTTTGTTATCATGAATACTGATTGCAGAATTATTCTGATACAGTGTATGTGTTCATATTTGTTTTTAGATCTCCACTGGCATGGAGCTAGGAGCGCACTGATAGCGATAGTTTACGAGGTACCATTTAATTACTTCGTTTAATTGTGCAGATAAGAATCACCTTCGTATAGTTTCGAATTCATTTTTAATGCTCTTTCTCTCTCTCTCTCTCTCTCTTAATTCTGTTCTTGTCAAGACTGTTGTTACAACTATCATAAATATTATAAAATTTATGAGACTTCTTTTTCATACTTCAATTTTTTGTAATCTCTTTCCGCAATTACACATAATACATAAAATGACGCAATAACTATAACGATGAGAAAAGTACTTATTAGTTATTGCCATTTTCTTCATGTTCACGTTTTATTGTCGGTGATTGTGATCACTGTTAATTTAGTTTCACCAAGTCTGATTTTACTTAAATTATAAGAGATATTTAAAAACATAAAAATGATTTAAACACAATAGCATTGCATATATCTACATAGACTTTTGTCTGTCTTATAATGCATTATTGTAATTATATGTATATATTTTGCACATAGATCTTGGTTTCTATGCATTGCCTGCCAAAGAAGAACTGAGCCCAATGTTTCCACACAATTCTAGTTCACATGAGATTTCTACAGAAACAAATGCCTTCGTACAAAATTCCGTGGTAAGTATTATTTACGTATAAATTGTCGCCATTTGAGATAGATGATTTTCTACACATCGCTTATATCATGTTATCATTCACACGAATCATTATCTACGGAGTTTTGAATGAATTACGAATTCGTAATGAATTATTCACGTTGCAGAATTTCAAACTTAAAGTCAACATATATATCATTACACTGAGATACAGATATTGCTTAAATTTAAGAGTAAATAAAACGTATAAGCACGAGAGAGACAGCATTTTAATATGATGAAATAGTTTCACGATTTAATCTGGAAACATATATATATATATATAGTCACAAATAAAGTTTACAATAAACCATATCATTTGTCATACATATATTTACACGTGTAGATTTTTACCTTTATGTGCAACATTGTTGCAACTTCCCATTATTGCATTTTTTTTTTCTTCTTTTTTTTGTTTATCAATATGCTTTAGTAATACAAGTTTCATGAAGTAGAAGTAAGCTGACATTTGTAAACTCATTGTTCCCTTCCTTTTGTCGCAGGGGTATGTAGTAGTATTAAAGGAAAGCAGTCTGGATGGGGAGGGGGAAGGGGAAAGATTAGAGCACACTTGGTACTGTGATATCAAATCCATAAACAGCAGCACGATGGCAGCACTTATTAGCCATCCCGAAGCTACAGCCGCCAATGACTTTTCAACCGTCCTGCCGAACCAAGCTGGTGAGTAAAATAAAATATCTCTCAGCGACACATTCATAGACAATAATACTATTACTATACGTTGTATACTTTTCATCGAACGTATCTGTTTGTCTCGTTATATTTAATATATTAACTCCTTGCGTTGGAATCGTATCTTCCAGATGTTGCGCTTCGCGAATCCAACGTTTATGTTGATATTACAGATATAACGCAATCTTAATATTTCTTAATGACGAAATCTTTCAAAATTTCTGCGAAACTGTGTGAAGAAAAACTGTGTAAATTGAATTGCGGCATTCACTCTTGTTCTTCCGAGTTTAAACTTAAATATAGATACTTCCAACTCGAGTTCGCCACTTAAATGCCAATGCAAGAAGTTAACTCCGCAAGCAAGTATATCGTATAAAAATTTTACTCGCCATTCTTTGGAAACTCTAGTAAAGCTGAATAATATTGTAAGCTCAGCTTTGATGTATATTTATCAGGGAATCTTCTATTTTTTAAGTGCATGGACATGTGTGTGTGTGTGATTGAGCTTTCTATGAATACCGTATCTTTCAAATTATACGTGTCCTGCATTACATAAAAATACTGAAATATTAGGGGAAAATATTTTCAAATAAAATAAAGTCAATAGGAAACGGTGGCTTGTCGAAATACAATCAATGAATATGTAGTTGAGGTTTAGAAGACAACTCGGTAATTCTAATTTACAGGTGAGTTGGACTCAACCGGCATAGGTAAGGCCTGCCAGTCAGTGGCGCCAGCAACCACAAAATACCCAACAAATCACCTTTTAATCTGCGATAATAATAATAAAATAAATAATCACAACAATGCAGAACATAATCATCACAAGTACAGAAAGCAAAACACACCGGGCTTGCTTGGTCAGCTGGGCAGCTCCGCCAATAACTCTAAGTCTACTTGTAAGACGTTAAGTGATAATAAGACTAGCTTTAGACATCTAAACTTTAGGGTACTAAGGTATTTATTAAGTGAATATCGGCGCGCTGTAAGGGACAAAGAGTGTCGCATCGTTGGGGTACCTAGCCTAGTTAGGATACCCAAGTCTGATAGTCCCCAACGGTTGTTACGCCTCCCTAACTCTGTCGACAATTACTCCTTACTAGGGTCCTGCCTTGACCTGGGCGACAACAATAAATATAAGGCTAATTATAGTTACGTAAATAATAACAACTCCAAGTCTGTGATATTGCTCAGCTCAACCAGTTACAGTAACCATTACCTCCTCTTTAGTGGTGGCTTTGACAAGATAGCTGCTGTTATCCCGGTACTTTGTATTAAAAGGGACGATTCCACCACATCGAATAGAATGAAACTACTAGGTGATAAGTACGCCCTAGTTACCAGTTTTGCTCAGACCTCCAGACTGCTTGCAAACGATAGAATTCTGGATGATAACTCTGACATCCGAGTTTCTCTGAGCCGCCGAATAGTACGACACCTTCTGGAATCGCATTTCGATGGCAACACTCTAGTTTCGGTGTCCGTCTATGCTCAGAATTTCGCGATGTACGCCGCCAGTTCTTCCATTACGCTTATCGTTTCCATAAACGAAGTAATTGACCACACTTTGCGATCTTTCCTGAAAAGTCTCACGCTACTGTATGTACAATCTTGTATTTCTCCATTATGTAATGTCACTGTGACCGAGCTGATGCAACACATATGTGTTCCACTATTAATAATATGTAAAAGTAATGATTACAACGTTGGTAATAATAATGAATACTATAATAACGAGAACATTAACGTTGGTAGTATTGAAGAAGAAATTAATATTAGTAATAATAACCAAGATGTTATCGGAGACATTGTTGACATCGCTGTGTGCTACAAGACTAGTGTAATGACTACTAATGTTAGAATCTTAGGGTCTCAAAATGATGGTATTAGTTGTACCGAAGCAACAATATTTACTGTTGGTGCTCTTTTATTTCAGGATAACAATAAGTCTAATAAGCTTCTAAACACTTGTTTTAAGATTAGTAGGTATAGGGGACCGGCTAATGCCGGCCGCGAATCTAACTCTACCATTAAGTCTGTATCTAAGTCTACGCTAAGCGATAAGTGTAACGTTAAGTTTGAAACATCTCATACCGCTCGACTTGACGAATCTGACAACAGAAGACAAGTTAAGTTGACTGTCAACATTCCTATAATGACTACCTGCAAGCCTACGATGACGCTTACATGCCAATCAGCCACCGTCGCATCCCAAACAATTGTTGTACCTGTATCTCGGGCGGAGAGTCGCACGAACGACAAGGAAATGCGATTGGAATATTTCAATATACTCCAAAATGACCAAATATGTATCCAGTATATGTTGCTAAGTCACACTGATGATCTTAAGGATGACTTATGTCATTATGACGCTAAATTTAAAGACGTGCAAAATTATGCTATCGACAAGCTCAAGGCAACATCGAAAGATGACTCAGCTCAGTTGATCTGCGAATACGACCAAGAAGCTCTTAGACACGACCGAGGTCGTAAGAACGACGACGACGATGATAACGCGAGCAACAGCAACGAAGATCCCATTGCACCATTGTCTGCGTTGCAATGGCCATCCCTTATTACGCGTATGCGCACATTAGTTTCGGCTTGTCGGACAACGTACGAGAATAACGGGATCAAATGTGAGGTTCAACGGCGCCAACTGAAATCCACCTTGGACGTCCTGCTTCGCAAGTTGTCTTACTACCACCGGAACGTCTACGAGCCTATTGCGAGTTACAAACAACGTTGGGGTATACCGCTGATATTGCGCTTGGCGGGAGGTGGAGAGAGCTCTTTGAATACCGGAGGAGCTGCTAACTGGGGATCGACGCAAGCCACCACGCCAAATAACAACAATACGAGCCAGAGTGGATGGGGTAGCACACCGGGAAATCCATCTGGTAGCACTAACGCGCCGAACAATTGGGGCGGCAACGCCGTTAATCGATCCGTCACGGGAAATCCGAATCAAAATCAAAATCAAGGGCCGCCCGGTAGCCAAAATACTCCGGGTGAGTATAATGTTATTTAGCCAAATCTTTTCAAATCTGTATTGTTAGAAAATACATCGCACAATAAACAACAGTTTTTGTGTCAAAAACTGTCCACTAAAATTATTGTGTTGCTTTAACGTGGTGTTAGTCGACCATATTTGACACCAAATTTCTTACTCTCTTTCGCTGCAACTTACATGCATGTACACGTTTTGGTCGATCAGGAAATGTGGGTAAAGTGAACAATCCCAATCAGCAGTCCAATCAACAATCTGGTCCGCCAACGTCTCAATCAAATAACCCTACCCAAGGAAATCAGAATAACAACCAATGGCCTCAGGGAAAGTCTAATCCAGGTGGTCTCGGGCAAAATCCGTCGGTGCAGAACAACAACAGCAGCGGTGTTCAGCAGCAGCAATCCTCGGGTTCAAGTGCAAGTAATAATCAGTCGAACAATCCTACCCAGGGGGCTGTGAGTATCGGGAGCACTTCGGCGAGCAACAATCCGTCTACGAAGCAACAACTCGAACAACTCAATACAATGAGGGAAGCGCTCTTCAGTCAAGACGGCTGGGGCTGTGTAAGTGAAACAACGCTTGAAATTATACAGGGATGGTTCAAGGTGAACTTAAAGCTCACCTATGAACTATGTTGTAATGATCGACAGCAACACGTGAACCAAGATACAAATTGGGATGTACCGACGTCCCCTGAGCCGTCTATGACGAAGGATGGTGTACCCATCTGGAAGCCACCGGTGAACAACGGCACCGATCTGTGGGAGGCTAATCTGCGCAATGGGGGACAGCCGCCGCCTCAACAGCAGGCGAAAACCCCGTGGGGTCACACACCCGCGACGAACATTGGCGGCACTTGGGGCGAGGACGACGAGACCGCGGATTCCTCCAACATGTGGACAGGTGCACCGACGCCATCGCAGCCGAACGCGGCACAGTGGACCGGCGCAGCTGGTAACCAAGCTGGTATGTGAAGAGAAGTAGGCTGGAGATGCGAAGTCAAAATGTTCTTCTAAATCTCTTCGTTTTCACTTCCTCACAGTCCTTGCTCTGTCACCGCATTTGTAGATTCGTATTATCTACGCTTGATTATGACACACTACCATTTATTATGAACAATGCTTCCACTTTTTTACTATTTAATTTTTTTTATTTATGAAAACTTTTTATTAGTTCTATTATATATATATATATATTTTTTTTTACTTGAAGATGATGTTTATATTCATTATTATTTTTCTTGCATTTCTTTTCATCATGTTATTTAGTTGTTCATTGAGAGCTACCTCCTTTTTTTTTATTTTTTATTTATACAATGATACAATTGACTACAAAGTGTACCTCGGAACTTATATGATATTCACGCGTTTAATATAAGGTCGTGTTGCCAGTATAAGTTCCTCTTGCCTGTTAAAATGAACTATGAATACTCTCCGGCATTCACAGAGCTATAAGGAAGTCAGGATAAAACTCGAGCGATTTTCTGATCTGATTTTGCATGCGTGTCTTTGCAAACAATATAAATTTCGAGTGATTTTTTTTTTTTTTAACCATTGTTTGAGAGAACTTTGTACGAAAGCACGCTTTTTACGCGGAAATATATGCTGTGTTAAATGCTTTTCTCTGAAACAAACGTGCATTTAATTACGTGGAATTAATCGTACGATATAGGTGGAATATTCTTGTTATTATTATTTAATATTATTTCCGTTTTACTTATCTCTTTTCATCATTTTATTCTATTTCTACGAAAATTATATGTTACGTTGAAATTAAAACCGCACCTTTTGCTATGTCATTATGTATCTGCATAAACGGTTCATATGTATAGAAGATAAAAGATTATATAAGAGTTCAAGAAACTTGTCGTTTGCCTAAGACAATAGTTTTTTTTTCTTTTCTTTTTTTTGTAATATTCATTCTTTAATTCAATCTCGATAATTCCACTCGGATTTGCGACCGATGCGGCTACAATGCAAAATCAAGTCAAATCGATTTATAAGTGATCGCTATTTATAACTTCGCTGATTAAACTCAACGTTTGATATTGCTGATTTTCATCAGATCATACAAATTGTACGTCTTTATCGCGACAATATTGTTATTTTGGACACAGCGGTAACATTCGACGATTCGGATGAATGCTTGGGTTATTTGTAAATCGATTTATGATTCGCTGCGTTCAGAAAACACGAGCGATCAGTGGGGGAGTCAGTGATTATTGGTAATCTTTACTGTCGGATCCCTAAATTTCGGGCCAATTGTGTTGACTCGAACGTTGTAGAACCGTCGTGTTTTCTGAACGTAACCCGCGCGCATGACGGGCCGTGTCTACAAGAGCTATTGATTGACAACAGGGTCCAATTGGGGCGATCCCAGAATAGACCATAGGGATCCACGAGACCTGCGATCCGTAGATCCGAGAGAAATGCGTGATCCGCGGGATCACCGTATGTCCTTGGATCCCCGAGATCACATGCGCGTTATGGATCCCATGGCGCGCGATCCGCGAATGACCGACATGCGTGGCGACCCGCGTGGGATATCGGGACGATTGCACGGCGCGAATGCGGACGCGATGTGGAATCAGCCGCCGGGACCGCCGCATCATCAGATGGGACACCAACACCCGTCCGGACCGCCGACCAAGATGCTCAATCCTTCGAATATGAATCAGTGGGCCGCTCCTCCCCCGAAGGATATCATGCCTGGCAAACCCTCGGGCTGGGAGGAACCGTCACCACCGACACAACGAAGGAACGTACCCAATTACGATGACGGTACTAGCCTTTGGGGGAATCCAGCTGCTAATCAACGTGCCTTGCAGACTAGTAAGGTATCGCACTGGAAGGATCTGCCCGCACCTAACTTGGCTCGTGCTGGTACGTGTTTGTGTCTGTCGCGGTGAATACTTTTGCTTGAAATAAAATGTAAAACGTTTTTCATCTCCGCAAACAGGATTGTTTGCTTTCTCAAATATCTTCCCTCGTCAAATAACGTTTCTCTTGTACTTTTGTTACAATGATTGTCGCGAGCGATGAATTATTTGAAAGAAGTAACATTATGTTAGAAAAGGAACTTTTTGTTTCAGCGAAGCAATATTTAATGTGTAATGAAATGCATTTCTTGAAAACCAAATATTATTTTCTTTGGTTAATACTGTTTTTTCTATCCAACAACATGGTTTATTCCAGTGAAACGACAATATTCTCACTCGAACAAAATAATACTTAAATAATACTGAATACAAAATAATACTAAACATCATTCAGTCATGTTGTTTGTATTAAACAAACCGAAGTCAATCACGTGTACTAAATCCAAAGAAATCTCTGTGTCTTTTATTTAACTAGGTCTACCCAATAGTGGCACTTTGTCGTTCTTTGCCGGTCTTTACAGGTATGCAATGTCCTCCGGGAATGCCTCAGAACCGAATGCCAGGGCAGCCTGGAATGAAGCCAGACGTGGGTGGGCCCATGTGGGGTCATCCCGGTGCCCCCAGTGGACGCAACGGGACTTGGACCGACGCTCCGCACGACACTGCTTCTTGGGACGATCCTAAGACTCCGGCGACATGGAACGAGCCTCAGCTGAATCCGGCAGCCTGGGGCGCCCCTACTGCGCACAAACCGAAGCCTATGGGACCCACTGGTAGCTGGGCCGACCCCGAAATGGACCCGACCCCGAGCTGGGCGCATACCGCGAAACCCACGTTGACGAAGGAGGTCATCTGGAGTAGCCGCGAGTTCCGCTATCTTTGTGACTTAGGTTTCAAGGTATTGCAATCTTCCGGACTTTCGTTTCATTCGCGCGATTCGGAACGCGTGAAATACGTCCTCTGCCGTTTCAGAAAGAGGACGTGGAACTGGCGTTAAGAAACCGAGAGATGAACCGGGAGGAGGCACTGGAACTTCTCAATCAGATACGTCCTCTTGATCAATGGAGACGTCACGACACGCACTCGGGTTACGATCCGACGCACCAGGCAACTACTGCGCCTGCTTACCCGCGATTCAATCACGTGGCACAACAGATGTCATTCCCTCCGGTAAGCCTGGCCAACGTGATTGGTCGCAAACACCGTGCGCTCAAGTATTATGCGACGTGTTTTGTTGACAAGCTAATTGCTTTTGCGACGGATATATTTCGAGGTGAACGATACTTTTGAGGATGTGTTTACGACCCGGTTTTTTTCATTTTCTGCTTAACTCGTGGCTTAAACTTAAATAACGATGATGATGCAAAAATTGTGTTTTTCCATTCATGGTTGATCATTAAATTGATGGTTTTGTACTGGTGGTAACTTTTAAGGTTTAATGATTAACTATGAATAGAAGAACAATTATTACGTTATCGCTAGGTTAAGCCCTAAACCACAAGTTAATCGGAAAATGAAAAACCAGGCTTGTGAGAATAATCTTTCGTTAACAATGTTCACGCTGAAAGTTCGACAGAACGAAAGAGTACCTGGCCAGGCTGTGGTTTTCGTGAAATTTGCCTGACAAACTTGATGAGCGAGCGAGCGAATGCATAGAGTTTCGTGAACGTTTCATTTGGATTAACATCTAATAATTACGACGAGTTAATAAACCGCTACACAGAGTACAAATGCGGTACGAGTAAAAGAGAAATCACTAACGGTTTTCTGTGTGTGTGTTTTATCCACAAAAGTAAATCCAGGTTTTTTTTGCATACTCCCCATATAGATCATAAATATTTGGAAACGAGGGGGAAAGGGTAATTTAAAACAATGTGCGTGTATATGTATTTATTTGTAAAATACTTCTGATGAATACGAGAGTCCTGTAATAAGATTCAAGTTCTTGTTTGTACAAGTGGTCCCAACAATAATCGCATGCGAAGCGCACTGGAAGATTCTTAATGCGAGCCGAAGCAACTTTTTGTTTACCAAAATTCCGTTCGCATGATACTTCTCAAACGAGATCTGTTCACAATTGTCGAATTAGTGCATCAAGTTGCACGCGAATCAAGAGCGGAACCACGTGAATATCACGTGAGCAGCAGTGTAGGCTGTTTTTTTTTCTATCTCGCTAGAGATTACACAGATGATTATACAATTATGCATAATATTTGAATTTATCGTTATTATTTTGAATAGAACTTATTTATATAAACAGTTTATACGAACAACATCTATCTTTTTCAAGCCGCAAGGTTATAAATATTTTTACGACGTTGGAACACTTTTTTTTCACAAAAAAATGTTTATGTTTCGTTTAAGAATGTTGCTTTATTTGCACTCGACCTTTCAGTGGCACATCGGTTAAAAAATTCTCCCGTATCAAATGAGTGAATTTTAACCGCCATTTTGAATAAAACTTGGCACGAAAGAATTTCTTATCAATGCGCCGCTAAAGGAACGATTACAAATAATGTTATTAAACGATATGTAAAGAATTTTTTGTAACAAATGCTGCAGAATCGTAAAAATACTTGCGGCCGTTGAAATTTTATTTGTAGAAATTATTTATCCAAATAAGTTCTCTTCAGAATAGCTAGTAAATTCAGATATCATGCATAGTTGCGTGATAAGAAATTGTTTAGCTTACGTGCTAAAACTTAAAAACTATGAATTAAACGGAAGATTTCGGTGAAGGGAAAGTTTGCGTTTTTGCCCTTTGGTATTATGGATCCCCCGGTGCGCTCCGCATGCGGTTATTTCGGGGGACACCTTGTACAATCGACGTTCAGGGGAGAAAGAATGTTTCTCGCGTTCGTATAGTGGAAAACGTATATGTCGAAGTGTTGCACACGTCCCGATTCTTATATCGCAAAACTCGGTCGAGTGTGCGTATTATATTACCGCGGGAGAGAAGGTAGGAAGGGCGCAGGGTACATGCTGTTTGTATTCAATACAGGGCGGAGGAGTGCCCAGCGGGGCAACCAGTGGGGGTGTGGGTGGTTCTGTCACCAGTGCTAGTATTCTGAAACTTCAGCAACAGCAACAGCAGCAGACAGCTGTTCCGCTACAGCAACAACAACCAAGTACCAATGCGCCACAACCCCCTTTCAACCAGGTGAACTATCAAGCTCGCGCTTGAAAATGTTCAATGTTTTATCATTTGTATCTAGGTTCCTTTTTTATGAGAGGGTCAATGATATCATATAATACTAAGTATATACGCACGAGAAATAAAGCATTGTCGCGCGCGTCCCGGTTAAGTTGTATCCGGCAAGGATCCGGGAAGCTGAGCAGTTCGAGGGATTTTATCTTTTCACGTCAAAGAGTCGTCAATTGTGTCAAAGAAGTCGGATAAATTGACTTTTTTACAATAGCCCCTCGGATGTTTTCAAAAGTTTCATTTATGAGATAGCACGTGATATTTTTATAATTTGCTCCGAGATTTGTGCTGAAATCACGTATTTTGCGAGATAAGTAGTTAAATCGGGGAGATTGACAAACATTTTTTTTTTTTTTTTCTTCCAACTTATACTGTGAAGTATATGAAAAATACTATTTTCGCGATAAAAGCTCCGTGAGTATTGTTACTTTACACCAGGATATTCACAATCGTAACGTACAAGTGCGTCTCTGTGGAGTCACAAAAATTACATATGAATGTATCACAAGCCGCTGATATCAGTTCATACAGCTAAGTCAGATCTGACGATGTGTGTTAGTACATGTTTAGCACAGTCTGATTTTCTGCGTGCATGCTTTTGCGTTGGATTTGAGCGATACAAGCTTTGTGCATGTTGATCTACGCTGTTTCCTTTGTTAACGACACATTACTGGTGACTAAGAAATATTTCAAGTTAAAGAGTCATCGTATACTTTCGATTTCCACTCTCATCCTGTGGAGACATCGCTTTATTCTACGGGAGATAAGACTGTACGCGGGATATTTTTTGTCCCAGCTAATATTTTATTAATATTCTATAATTTTTGAAGAAATCACGATTCACTTTTTATAAGAAACAAACCGTTCTGTTTCCTCCGCTCCCGGCGTGACTTCGACGAACGAAAATGGCCGGCACGTTTAATTTCCAGGCATCTCGCGCGTCACAGAATCAGCCGAGCACGCAACAATTGCGTATGCTCGTGCAACAGATCCAATTGGCTGTTCACGAGGGATACCTGAACCATCAGATCCTGAATCAACCACTGGCGCCCCAAACTCTGATGCTACTCAATCAGCTACTGCAGCAGATCAAGGTCTTGCAACAATTGCACCAACAACACTCTGTGCAGAGCACAATGAAGGGCAACAATCAGTCGGTCCTGCAGATCAGCGTACAGATCACGAAGACCAAGCAGCAGATTACAAATTTGCAGAATCAGATCGCGGTGCAGCAGGCAACGTACATGAAGCAGCAACAGCAACATCCGGCGCCGCCATCTCAGGCGTCGGAATATTACAAATCGACCGTGCACGATCCTATGTCAGCACTGCAGAACAGTTTCAGCGACTTGACAATGAACAAGGAGGCACCAGTGGTATGTATTCTCATTTTTCCATATTTTATATGTATATATACATTACTATATACAGTAGTTTGTTTTTTTTAAGTGTTTGTTTCACTTGAGTTTATTAAATATAAACACAATTTAATATATATTATTTCGATACAATTATGATCTGTATATGTGTATATTATTTTTGCAGAGTCAACAGCAGTCTAGATTAAACCAGTGGAAATTGCCCTCGCTCGACAAGGATGGCGATTTAGTGTCAAACGAATTCTCCCGCGCCCCCGGAACTACGAGCAAACCGCCCACGACACCCGGTGGCTTGACCCAGTCGCACAGCAGTCCGAATATGAATCCTCTGCTAGGCCAGGGTGATGGCACATGGTCTTCGCGACTCGGCGACAGTGGTTGGCCCGATCCGAGTAATAGCGACTCGACCGACGGGAAGGACTGGCAACCTGGTGGTGCCGCCTTCACAGACCTTGTGCCAGAGTTCGAACCTGGGAAGCCATGGAAGGTAATCCATTTCCAATACCGTCAATCGTTACTTAACTTTCACGAACGTTGTGTTCGGAATTCTTCGGCAACGATATCACTGTTCCGCTCAGTTTGTCGTGATCCTTAAAATCGCAAAAAAAAAAGAGAGAGAGAAAATCTCGTTCGAAACGTCGTGAAAGAACGAGTTAGCATCTAAGGTTCGTTCGGATCCACCTATATTTCATTTCATTTTAGGGTACCCAGATGAAAAGCATCGAGGATGATCCAAGCATCACTCCCGGTTCTGTCGTACGTTCTCCGTTATCTTTGGCCACCATCAAGGATCCGGACGCGATCTTTTCGTCGAGCAGCAAGACATCACCGCCGCCGCAAACGACCAATCCAGACACATCGATCCCGAGTTTAAGCAACTCTACGTGGACATTCAACCCACCGGCCACTACACCCAGTGCATTTACCAGGTATTGCTCGAAACCTCTATGAGACGTAACACTGCTTTCATATTCGGACACGCGCATAAAAGGGGCCGATCTTTCCCAACAGCTCCAAGAATACGTGGGGAGAGTCCGCCCCTCCACCTACTGCTGTGACTTCGGAGCTTTGGGGTGCACCGATGAGCAAACCACGCGGTCCGCCCCCTGGCTTAGGTAGCAAAGGCGCCACGAACACGAGCAATGGGTGGGCCGGCTTAGGCAGCGTTAGCAGATCCTCCAGCTCTTGGGGCCTGCAATCTTCCACGGTCAGCAACTCGGGCTGGATGTCCACTTGGCTATTACTGAAGAATCTGACACCGCAAATCGACGGCTCTACTTTGAAGACGTTGTGCGCGCAACACGGACCGGTTCAAGACTTCCGTCTGTACCAGAATCACGGAATCGCATTGACGAAATATTCCACTCGCGACGAAGCAATCAAGGTGAGGCACGGCCACTGAAATTTATCTCGCTCGCTTGGCTCTCTCGCGACTCCCGCGCATCAAACAAGATGGCTGCTTGCGAGGGACAGAAGCCTTGATTTTCGAGGATATATTTATTTGTTATATTTATGATTTTCTCTCACGTATAGGCACAAGGCGCCCTAAACAATTGCGTCCTGGGTAACACAACGATATTCGCCGAGTCGCCAGCAGAGAGCGAAGTGCACACCATTCTGCAGCAACTCGGCCACGGCGGACAGCAGCAGGCCGGCGGTTCTGGCGGTGCTGGATGGGGCCTTAGACCAACTAACAAAGCCGGCCCACCACCCGACACATGGGGTGGTAGCTCCAGTCAGCTCTGGGGTGTCCCGCCCACCAGCAATTCCTTGTGGAGTAACGCGGGAATAGACAACAGCGACCAGCAACGAGCAACTCCCAGTTCTCTCAACTCGTATTTACCCGGAGATCTTCTGGGAGGTGAGTCGATGTAGAGAGCGAGAGGCTATCCGCCCGAAATCTCGTCGAATAGGTGAAAGCAAAAGAAAAAAGGAAAAAAAAAAGAAACAAAAAACCTACTTGTTTGTGACGCAAGCCCAAAGATGCAGCTCGGCTGACGCAAACTTCGTGATCAAATGCGTATTACAACCCCTCCCGATCCCCCCTACTCTGCCGCTTATTCCTCTGAGACACACACACACAAAGTGCATAACGTGTATATGCAAGTATTATTGATTCGCGTCTCGGGTATAGCCGATACAAAGTGTATCTGCGCCTGTATATAGCATCGTCGACAGAGAGAGAGAGAGAGAGAGAGAGAGAGAGAGAGAGAGAGAGAGAGAGTGCGCGAGAGGAAGAGGGTAAGGGCAGGAGGGAGAGGGAGGGAGAGAGAGGGAGAGAGAGGGTGACAGGAAGGGTGTGTGAAAGAGAGAGAAAGCAAAGAGACGGACGAGGTCTTCACGAAACGTCAATTATATTGCTAGGAAATGCAATTACTATAACGAGTTACTTAACAAAGAAAAAAAAAGAAATTACTACCCTCGTATCCGCCTTGTGTAGAACACGCGTAAGCAAGAATCGCAGTGGTGTACAGCCAAATCGTGCGATAGATATCTAATTTTACATGACAAGTCACACGTATAACACACACACACACACACACACACGGTATAAGATACACGTACACACAGATACACACGAATAGACACGAAACAACACGAAGAAACTCGTAGAGAGAAAAAAACAAAACAGCGGCACTTGCGAGTACGAATTTTGCGGTCGTGTCATTACTTCGAGGAGACTCTATGGATTGCTGCGGAAGATCAAGCTGGACCAATTGCAAGAGGTCTCTTCGTCAACACTGGTGCGTATACTGCGTGCGATCTGCCACGATATGATAACGACGAATGGCGTTTTTCTCGTCGTTTCAAGCCAACCTAGTAAGCATGTATTTCTATCTCCGAGGATAATGTAGAGAAAACAAAGGTGAGAAAAAGAAAAAAGAAAAAAAAAAGAGAGTGAGAAGGAGGGAGAAGGAGAGAAGAGGACTCTATCCGCGCTCTCTGCCGTTTTGCTGTGAAGGGAGGGCGCCTTTTCAATGAAGATTTATCGGCCGAGGGTCTCTGATCAGGTCAAAGAGTGTTCCATTTTTGCTGGACAGTTCCGAAGACTGCAGCGAGTATCAAATGTAGACTGTATCAATCTAATCAAAAGAAAGAAACCTTANACCGCACTCTCTGGACACCCCCCCGCCCCCGCACGGAAGAAACGAGTAATGCAGGGATATCAGATCAACTGGGCAACGACGCAACGATACCAAATGTTATCGCAATAACGTAAATTTTATTCTATATTAAATCTAGATGCCACCTGTCGTGCCAATGTCCAGTGTGTCTCTTTACCATTTATTAACGTAGAGTTTAAATGAAGATGATGATGATGATGACGAAGAAAAGGAGAGGAAGAAAGAAAAAGAAGATGAACACAAGAGAAGAAGGAAAGGGAGAATAAACGAGGATCGGCGAGAGATGAATTTCATGGACGAAGCGTTGAGAAAGACCGAGGAGGAGAAGGAGTGTTGAGACGAAACAGGGCGAACTGGCTGAAGATCTGGTTCACAATTAAAGTAAACACAATGAATACCACGTACTAATTGCTGGTATTAGCATATTACGCTTCTCGTTAGTGATGTTCGAACGAGGAATCACAAATGGTCCACGTTATTAAGATCGTAACGCGAGCGACGGCGATGTTACGAATGGCATTTATTGTCGGCACACGGAGCCGAGCGGAGCTCGGTCTCTCCTAGGATGAATTTAAATTAGTTTTTCTCTCAACGTCAAAGGTACCTGAACGGACTGATAAACCAAACGACGAACAAGCGAATCGTTAATTACTCATGCACAACAATTTCCGTTTTACTTTCCGCTTCTCCGCGTTCCACACGGCGGAGTGTTGGGAGAAACGTTTCGCGAATCAATCACTGGCGCGAACCGGGACGTGAAAGAGAGACTTTTTTCCCTTCGTCAATGAAGCGGAGAAGAAGCGAGAAGAGCAAGAGAGAGAGAGAGAGAGAGAGAGTGAGAGAGAGAGAGAGAGAGAGAAAAAGATATATATATATATATATATATAGAGATATACATATATATCCGATATATGTATACAAAGACAAAAATAGAAGGAGAGAAACAATCCCACACATACATACATATGACACACACACATACGAGACGAGCCGTTCATGAGCTGTACAGCGACGCGCAATAAGTGAATAATAAAAGTGAATAACCGCATTCACGTAACACATACAATAGACACACACGCATTTGCCGCGCATGGCCGCATGCGTCTGCGAATGTCCGACACGCCAAGCTAAGGAAACGTACATAGTAGCATTGGTCGACAATGATTCCGTGCCGCTTCCATGCGATCGGTCGATCCTCGCGGATGCCGGGACGCCACATGCTACCCTTTTCGGCGTAAACGAATAAATCAAAAACCATCGGGAAACTTTTTATATCTTTTGCCTTCCAAGAGAGAGTAAGAGATCGCTTTGCTGGGGGGGACGAGGATCGTGAAAAGGTTTTTTTCGCGGAGACGCTACGAGAGAGACGCTGCGGGAAAAGAAAAGAAAAAAAAAAAAGAGAAAATTACACACCGTGCACCGCAAAATAGTATCCGCGCGGTTCCGCCGGTCACGTCGCCTCGACTCTGTCGGCCAGTGTTGTGTTACGTAATGCTTAATTTTAATATTTTCGTAAGGGAGCATAATTTTAGGTATTCATAATTAAGTGTCGAACGCTAATTAGTTGGAGAGGAGGGGTAGTCACGTGGAAGGGCTAAAGAGTACGACGATACGATTATGACGACTATTATGAGCTCGCCGGTTGCGAAACAAAAATAAAAAAAAGTAAAAAAAAAAGATAGAGAGAGAGGAGGAGACGGAGGAGGAAGTAGTGGAAGCGCTGCTTGCAAGAAACCGTTCTGTACATAAACGTATCGTACCCCCCGGATGTAGGAGGCTGTCGCGCCTGAATCGAGAGAACGAATTTCTTCTTCGCGCGTTCCGAGGGAGGTGGCGCGGAATAGAGGAGAGTAGTAGACGGTAAGAATTGCGAAAGTAAGGTAATGTGATTCCCTTGGAAAAATTTTATTGCGATCTCTATCACGGTCTATATATATACATACATATATACATCGTGTCCCTTCTTTTCAATCGTGTTGACGTGTGTGTGTAAAGACGAACACGGGTGGGATAAATTTCGCGGCTGTCTTCTCCGTTTATACATATATATATATATATATTTGCAATTGTTTAGGATTAGGATTAAACATGACAAATCTCCGCGCGAGGGCGCGGAATGCCGAATGAAAGTCTTTTTACTTGCGCGGACTCTGAGAGAGATCGAACTCTTTCTCTCACGCGAGAGTCGCGACAGTCCGTTCCCGGAGGTGCGGTATATATCACACGCATAAATATCTCTATATAATTACTATATTGTATACGTACACCAATATACACACACACACACAGACACACAGAGCAGCGTACCTATGCATATATATACAGTGTGTATATATATGTATCTCTTTGTATGACAACGCATCCTTGTTTTACTTAAAACGACAAGAAGAAGAAGATGATGAAGAAGAAGTAAAAAAAAATATAGAAGAAGAATCGGTGTGGTGCGACAAATACAGCGAGAGAAGTGAGTGAAACGGTGAGGCCGGTGTGTAAGAACGTATTAACTGTAAACACTAACTACGATACGCTGATATAACGACGAAACAACGTTGAGTAATTTATGAGCAACCTCTATTCCTGGAGAAATAATTACTTTTAACTCTAGCGCTTTAAAAAACCCGTTTACTTTACACTATTTACTTTAAGATACCGAGCGGAGTAAAAGTTCGCCGTTTAGAGGAGCGGCGCGAAGATGAAGACGATTTTCTGGTAGTTAGATTTTAAGGTAGCTCTTAAGTGTCTGAAGAAACTTAAATGTATTCGTCGATGCTGTAAGGGGTGCGCGCGGGGGAAAAGTGAGGACGGAGAGGGGAGGAAACAGAGAGATTGATTGATTGAAGCGAGCGAATGGTATGCGGGATGCAAGAGACTGTGTGTATGTGTGTGTGTAAGTCTGAGGAAAGGCAGAGGAGAGAAATGTGGCAGGTGGAGAGTGTGAATGTGAAAAATCACTTGCTTTTTTGCTAAAAACCGAGCGGTATTCGTGAAACGGAAATGTGATCAATCGGTTGAGATTTCTCGGCGTGGTTCTGACGGTAGGCTCGCTTAATTACGAACGGTGAACATTTTTAGCGGCGAGAACGCGGTCTCTAATTTACACGTAGGGATAGGAGGGGGGTCGAGGGGTTGAATAATACTTATTGAATAAATCAAAGGAATAAACTTATCTCGTGCTAAGGGGAGATATTTGTTGTGATAATAATATGAATTTAGTAACATTGATAACTTAGGTGTTTAGGCGGCTCTTACCACATCTTTTATGAATAATCATATTAATACCGTCGTTTAATGAGTAAATTTTAAGTAAATAATAATAATAATAATAAAAATAAAATAATAATAGTATATAATAATATAATAATAATAATCGCTATATGATAATGATTAATGATTATATCGAAAGAAGGATGATCGGAGTAGCGTGTAAACTTTGGGGAAGAAAAAACGACGTACAGTTTTATATTAGAGGTATATAATTTTATTTATTTATTTATTTATTTATAAATAAATAAGTAAATAAATAAATAAAAGCACTTGGCAGGCGTAATGTGCGTGCGTGGAAGCTTGTGCGTATATATGGCATATATATTTGATTAAAGTATATATAATCGATCGAACGTCGCGATTTAGCTAACACGAAACATGCGCACGGTATTGGGGGTGCCGGGTGCGAAGGGTATAATGCATATTTACACACTTACATCATACACACGTACACATGCACATGCAGCGCAGGACTGGGCGGATAAGGGAGTTTCTACTAATGCAGATAAGGGAACTATAATTTTTAAACGAATACACTTGAACGACCGACGTGCAGCCTACCGCTTAATTGTAATCTAACGCATTAACGACAAGTTAACCTTAGTCCTTCTAACTCGTTGCCTTTTATTGTTTGATACATTGATGTCACACCACGAGACTTACGCGACAACATATATACAAGCCATACGCAACAAATACACACACATACACCATCGCGAGACATAAATTCGATGAAAATGGACTGACTAGCGGACGTAAGATAATAACTAAATTCGTTGATTGCGATAGCATACACGTACACATCTTACAAACGATTCGTACAAAACGGTTGTTTTATTCAGCGACTTTAACAGCAGCTGGAGAGAGAGGGAAAAAAGAAGAGAGAGAGAGAGAGAGGAGATAGATTGTGACGGTGAAGGGAAGGAGGGGGGCGTTCTTAAGCTGTAATATTTGGAACCTTCGTGTACGCAGCGTCGTCTTACATCGTACAGTGCGAGGGACACGCACGCGACTTTTGTGTCTGTCATACTTTTTAGTTTGAATACACACATACACACGCACGCAAGTGTGGAACCACGTAGAAGCGTGGGAAAGCACTTTTTTTTTCTACGAAGCTGATTAATTCCTTACGATGATTTCTTGTCACTGTATTAGATAGAATATTTATACCGCCAATATATTTATGTTAGATACTAAAACGGTGGACGGATATTTCATATATATATATATATATATATATATATATAT